GGCATGGAAAAAAATGTTAAGGATCGTAAACATTTATTGAATGGGCCATCACCTCCTTTTTAAACCAATAGGATGTCATTTATTCTTATGGGGTTTGGGCGTCGTCAGCGGTACGATTTTAAAGGCCGAGGTCAAATGTTAAATTCGATATGTTTCGATCCTAACTTTCTTTATTGGGTCCATCATGAATAATGGTAATCGATTTATTATGCCATTTTTTTGTAAATTTTATAAAATTTGATTTGAAATTAAAACAGACTGTAATGAATTTTCCTCGCTCCGTCCCATGAATAAAAAGAGTGATGACTAGTGAAATCAGATCATATTGAAAGTGTCCTTGTGAAACTATTCATCAATAGTAAACGAATCTATAAAGAGAGAGTTTGATATAAAAAAAACTACTATTCATATCAATTGAAAGTAAAGAGCATTTTTATAATTTTATTAAAAAGTATTTCTCAATCCGCAAAGTTTTCACTTCTTTTGCTACTCATAAACCCATCCTGTCAAGTTTTATTAAAACGTTGCAATAACTAGAAAACATCCAGCTGCTATTACATACAGAGATTCCAGTTAATATTAATCCCTAGGTAGATAGAGCAAAGCGCAAAAAGCAATGCAAGAAAGTAATAAATGCGAGAGTGGAAATACTGAAATACCGGCGTTATTTGAATATTTGTATCTACAGATAAGTAGTTTAGTGAATGTGAATAAACTCGATCCATAATTCTCACGTAGACACGATAGGTAATACATTTTCAATTCGTATTCATAAATCTGTATCTTGGGGAGATGTAATGCTTAGCGTCCGACGCATACGGAACGCTGGGAGCATTTGAAAGAGTTTGGAGAATCGCCAGTGCATTCAGGTGGAAACTGAGCCTCGCATTGGCCCAATAATACTTCCACTACGATACACTTACGTGGTTTTAGTACAATCGGATTTATTTGTTGTATTACCTACACGTGGTATCTTCTGTGAATTGTTCATTTGATCGCCTTCCCACGCGTGGGCAATTCAGCACGTGCGCTGTTTTTACGGGCCTGTCTAGATCTCTGGATATTCGATTCTTTTTTGGATTTGTATTTCGTTTTACATTTTTTTTTTTCGCTTTTGGACATCGATGTCTGGTTAATGGACGGATTTTGTACCTAGGTACTAAAGATTGCTCTGGACACCAAATTAATATTTTTTCTAGAATTTTCGTTCTTGTACTGTCCGGTTTTGGCAACATAGCAATAATTTGAACAAGACTGGCAATCGTTAAAGTACAGAGGTGATTTATTTTATAACATTCTAAAATCCAAGCTGAGTGAGTGTAATAAAACATTGAGCTAACATTACACACTCGTATCTCACATCTTTGTTCAAATTTAAAGAAAAAAAGCTTTCATACTTTTAAATTATTTATGTAATTTCTCTTTTACTTCTATAAATATTCTTAGTAAAGTTTATTGATACTGCGAAGTAATAGCTAAACGAAGTTGTAGAGGGGTGTGGACCAATAATGTTTGAAACAATTCAAATTTATTACCAGCTTCAAACGGCCAACGAAAACATTGTGAGGAAGTTCACAGCCATAAAGGCTTTATGCAAATACTCTTCATATTAATGGCAAATAGATCATGACTTCGAAGAATCCTCAGAGTTGACAACTGGCTAGTGAAAACTTACTTTTATTTGTACATAACTATCATGATACCATTAAAAGATTGTATCATATTTTGTCAATTTTTCTTTAATTATTACCAAGACTTTACTTGAGAGGACAATTCACTTAACAAATGTAAGAAAGCAAAATTAATGCATAATGCATTTACTATGTTTTATGTTTACCCATCTGCTCAGCGAGAAGCTTGTACGTGACGCCGAAGACAATGTTCTAGCAATGTGCTATTAGGTTATTTAGTTCCCAGTGATTCAGTTCCTGTTTTAACGACCGAAGTTCGGGGATAAAATAACTGTTAAACAGCAAGTGCATATACATATGATATAGATAGCACCTCTATGAAAGATATACATTATTATTAAGTTGTTCATCTTATTTAAAGCTAGCATAAACTATTTGTATCTCTAAATAAACTAAATTCTGTCTTTAGTGAGTGACGCGACTGTAAACATACAGTTTATTAATATAACTATCCCTCACAACATCAACCAATCAAAACAATTGACATGGGACTCAACGGAATGAATTGGTCAACGTAATTGGTCGGGAACAAATTCAATTCTCCTTGATTTCTAAGAACCGCTTAGTGACGAACAAAAAAGACGAACATCATTTACGTTTGTATGATCACAGGGGGATATTAAGTAATTAAGCTACGTTGATCCATTAGAACAAGTATCAATCTACGTCATGAAAGATAGAATACAGACATAATAATAGAAGGTTGGAAATCCGCCAGTGCGTTCAGACGGAAATATTCCAAATTGTTTACATGCCTAATAATATAAATGGGGTACTTATTGTACCTATCTTGAGCACTGTTTAGCCTCATAGTTTGTGTTGTGAATTCGGGTCGACCCTAACAGGCAATGGTTTTTAATAAGTCAAAATAAATATGGAAGACCTTTCCAATTTTTCGAATTTTTAACGAGAAAATGAATATTTTCTTTCATAATTTCTTCTCTTATTGGTGCTTCATGCTACACAATATGTCAGTTCCTATTAATTGAAATTAGAAATACATTTCAGACAAAACTACTAACACCGTCCAGGAACAGCGAACATGAATGAAAAAATACTCAAAGAGAACGAATAGTAGAAATACTAAGCAATAATCCGTAAAAGTTAGAGCCGTATTCGACAGGGGTGGCACAAATGGATTAAAAAACTGATGTAATAAAGAACGGTGTAACTGTACCATTCTCCATAAACAAAGATAACAAATGTTTGTTTGAGACAACAATTCAGTTCTCCAATAGCAAAAATAATAACCTCAAATGTTGGGCAAAATTTATTTCTTTGTTTGTCTGCACTTTACGATGGTTAAGCTGTGAGTTCCTTTGCAAATTTTTCGGTGTTATCCGAATACATTTTTAACATTGTTGCTGTGTATAACAACATATGTACCTATTTATTACGTGCGGTACAGAAAACATTTTCTACATTCTCTCGGGCTGGCTCTGAGACCCAAATCCGCTTCGATATGTTAATATGAGATTTTCAATGACATATAAATCGCTATGTGCCTCCGCTTGTTTGCGTAAAAGTATAATTTTAAAATAAATATAAACTAAGATATTTAATATTTATCATAATCACATTCACTTTTGAAACTGTTTGCAAAATATCCGTATTGAATTAAATGTTTAATTTATTTCAAAAACAACATCAAAGTAATTCTTCGTTTTAATAGCTTTAAAACTTTTTCGATTGTAGAATTTTCAGTTTGCCTTGTGAAGGCAAGTACACTTTTATTTCTCTTTACTTTGCAAAGTGCATAACGATCCGCGTTCCGTACGAGTTAATGACGAACTCTTTTTCCTTAAACATTCTTTAATATTAAGCTTAGATGATGAAGAATGTTTATATTCATTGTTGTACAAATTCAATTTCAATCCGAGAAAACAATCTAAACAAAATAACCGTATACCCCGCAAGTATTACAGAAACTTGGCAAACTTTCTTAAACGCAAGATTTGTCATTTGCATGAGAAAAACTTTTGTATTTCATAACAAGACGAACAATAAGTCTATACGTAAAATACTTATAAGTATTCACAACTACGAACCGATACAAAAAAGTTACTTTTAATTGGAACAAAACTTCAGCTACTTAATTGAAAGATTTCGAACAGGAAACTTTTTTGTAACAACCTCTTTTAATGAATCTCGAATTTCTTCGAATCCTTTATTAATGGCAAGTGGAATTCCTTTGAGGGAAAATAAAAACGTAATAAAGTTTATTAAATATGAATGTCTAATACTTTTAAGCGTTCCCGAAGTGGGAGTTTTAACGGCCATCCTTCGTCAAAATTAGCTGGCACCGCCGAATTAGGGCGACGACGTTCGCTCCTTATTTGTTTAGGACCATCATTTAACTAGTTAGTGAACTTTGAACACAGCTCTGCAATGGAATCATTGAGTGTTAAACTGCTAATGCGTGTTTAACAATGTGATCCTGTTTTGGAATTGAATTATTTCAGTTTAGGTTTTCGTGTTGTTTTTGAAATTTTGCGTTGTACAAATGTATGTCAGAGGTAGAGCCTTTCTGGTCTAAAAGGTACTAAGTAATATTTACTTACTACTAGTGTTTTTATTCTATAATATACTCAATATTGTAATTTGTTTCGACGAATGGATTGTCGTTGTAATATACTCTCTATGTCTACATACATCAGATATTGATTTTGAATAAGCAGCATACCTACATTGTTCGGAACAACAATATAAAAAGCTTCCCTTTTCTGACATGGACCGAACTTTGGTCCCATAGAGAAAGTTTGATATTTTTATAAATGAGTTTTTGGGGTCGTGTTGTCTTATCGCAACAATAACTTACCTCTTTTGTAATTTGATGAAATTAATATTATGTGTATAATATGCGTTTATGACGAGTGAATACAGGCATTTTGCCTTTATATAAATTTAAACCGTAACTACCTAATATGATTTTCTGTACCTGCCCATGTTATTCACAAGTGTAACGTTGTGTTTCAAATCGAAGACCTCACTATTGTAATCGTAACACCCCTAGAGCATAGAACCTCAAACAACCAGTAAATTAAAATCACAATTCCGTCGTATACGAGTACTTACTACGATACCTACTCGAATGTATTTTCCTTATTAGATCGAGTTATTCCTGTGTGACTCGTAGGTCAACTACCTTACCGACCTTTGGTTAATTCCAAGTTACCTGAGTAGGTATGTACCTTCCAGTGTAGCTGTTAGCGGATGGTACCCACTGTGTAGGGTGTGACCCCTGCAATTTCCGTCCCAGATTCACCTGTGTTGTAACTATGGTTAAGCCGTGCTTATGGTTGTTCGCAGTTCGCCAGGAGAACGAGCGCATGATACACGACGTCCTCCAGGCGGGAGTCTTAAATCGCACCCAGTCGTCGGCGTTGCGCTGACGCCGCGCTACTCGCCGCGGCCACGCCTCGACAACGTGCGGCCGGCCGCCGCGCCGCCGGAGGAGCCGGCCGAGCCGGACCCGGAGCCGTCGAGCACGGCGGAGCCGCCCGAGCCGGCCGCCCTCCGCCAGCCGGTGAGCGCAGCGACCGCGGGCCCCACGTGAGCCTCTATCGCGCCTGCGTCACGCCGCTCGCGCCCGCGCCACCTCGCACTGACTGCCGACAGGCGCACCCGCAGCTGTGACGCTCCGGTATGTGAACTGAGAGAATAAACATAGACATAGATAAGTTACTCGTTCGCGAATTGAATTGAGAGTGACGAAAAGGACGTGTAGGTAGCCAATGTGAAATTGTGAACAAATAGAAAAGAATGAAAATGTTATTGTTGAATCGTATCGGATAGGATGTAAAAGACAGAAAGTCAATAATCCACGATAGTTATTAAATATGCAATTGTCTTATATGTTAAGACTACATTATATGGAAATAGAGGAAGAAATATAATTTGCAATTTTGACTTCACCTGTATTTCGCACATCGATGTTGAATAAATTATAAATCTAAGATATTCGTAATGAATATGTGTCTCAGAGAGCTGTGAAAGAGGCTGCGGTTAGAATGTTGGATGTTTGTAGATTTGATAGCATATTAACTGTGTAATGCGACACATAATGATAAAAGTACCAACATCAAACGGGAACAATCATCAATACAATAAGGTCAAGTTAGATTTCTTTCTTTATTTGAATCAAATTATAAATTAATGTTAATATTTGGTGGTGTGGAAATAGTGCCATTATATGCACAATGAAGTAATATAAAACCCGCATGTATAGATAACTCCTCTAGCTGTGAAACCTGTCAATGAATGTAATAGGCACCTTTATCGACGTACTTATTAATTAAAAGCCTATAATTTACTCAATGAGCACAGATTAGTGTTATTTTATTGGTCACAACACAATACACTGTTTCTATATTCTTACTGTTTACCATACGACTTTGTATATCACTAAGTGAATCTTAACTGAACTTGAGCACAATAATTTTGAGTTACTACTATTATACTGAAGTCCTGATGTTCAACTCTAATCGAGAGCTTTTGAAACTGCGCTTAAAATAATGATATAAAAATCTGTTAAAAAATAAGAGCTTTTTGTATAGTAGTTGTTGTAGTATAATTCTTACGACGAGAACATTCTTGTAAGTCAAAATAGAGATGCAAATTCAGTGTCGTTCGCCCCGATGGGTCTGTCATGTTTAAGAATTGACTTCGATGCGGTGATGTGAGCAGTTAGGTAGAATGTATTATTAAATATGTTAGCGTTCTCCGGCTCGGCCCTGTGTTCGCTTGCACACTGAGCACGGCTTCACGCTTCAGCCTGTATAGCCCCCGCCACGATTTAGCAGCAATTGTAAGTGTTAACGGCCTGTATATACGGGCGGAGCGCGCAACATGTAATGTAACACCATCGCCTTTATTACATTATGGATGGCTCCACCTCCCAGTAATGACGTACGACGTAAATTAAATTAATTTCCGCGAAACAATTCAATTAATTTCGCGTAATAATGCAAATTGTATATAACTTTGCTTATTATTTTCAAACTTCTATATGTATTTAAATGGGATGGAAATACAGACGAGCTTCAATAATGGTTTGTTGGGCTTTTGACTAATTACAAAGTTATCGCTTGACGCCTTCCCGATCCCCGTTTTACAGGCTAAAGGGTGAAGCGAGCCGTAGCTGCCTACTTAGTGTTTTCCTTCTACCAACAGAAAGGTTTAAATAAGGCTATTTACCCAACTAAAAATAACTTGGTATAAAATAATCTACAGAGCTTAAAGGCTCTCATATATTTACATATACCTATTATGTATACATACATATATTTCAGTATTCTATTAAGATCCTCAAGGGATTTTGTAAATACTAAATAGTTTGGAACAGTTTTCTGTTCACATTGACATGTTAATTAATAGATGGTATAATAAAAATATGCATAGGTATCTGTGACAAAACATAGCTGCAATCCCCAGCTTCGTTGAAAACGTCAACCAAATTACAAAGGCAACTTGATAATTTTCTCACACTTATATTGATTACACAGCCCTATGGATCAATGTAAAGTCCCTCTGAGATCCGTCCAGTAGCTTTTCTGCGCCTTTGGAATTACATCTAAAATTGTGGAAATTATTCCGAACTAGAATTGATATAAAAAGGCGCGAACACTTTATCCTAAAAAGCTTTTCAGTTACGTCTTAAGTAGCTTGTTATTAATTTCGAATAAGCTAATCCATAAACAATTTACATAACATTACACAAGAATTTGCAAAATTCCGGACTGTAAATAACAATTTAGATATCAATTTAGCTGTTGGAGATACGGATAACGGTTATTTTATTAACATCCCCTACGCGGAGCTGGGGCGGCCTGCAAGCGAACATAATCCGGATTTATATACTACAACTATCTGCGATATTGAACATGATTTTAATCTTAAACTATTTCGGCCCGGGTCGAATCTAATTTATTATCCAATAATAATTAAACTTCCACTCTGTGTATCTAAATTATACGAACTTAACATACCAATTTATGTTGAGAAAATAAGTCTTGAATTGTGACGGTTGATGTAGAAGAAAAATGCTGGTAGCGAGAAAACACTGAGTGACCATTGCTGTTCCATGTTACGAATATAAAATTTAATGTGAGCTAAGCGTACATGTGTGCCACATATTGCTAATTTTCAGCATGTCGCAAATCTGTCAGTTGGCAAGAATATAATTTAATGAATCTAGATGATAGTTTCCTATATCCGGCACGTAACCGACGCCGACGAGGCAGTACGGCTGAGCGGCATGCCGGTGTGCCGGTACATTTACAATGGGAATCCCGAGATTGCGGCAGGCTGCAAATCCGCTGTATGCCGGCAGTAAGGCTAACGCTGTGCAACTACTAGTTACGAATATGTGTATCGACAATTAAATGTATGTATTAGTTTAATTGCGATCCGCATCCCCTCCCATCCTCGTGTGATACGATATGCTACGTGTTCAAATGTTATCGTTTGATTATCTCTAAGAAATCGCCACTGAGCGAGAACTGTCAATGCATACATTCGGCTATACTAAAGATCAATTCCAAACATAAACAGGACCTATTAACGTAATTAGTGTTAGAAGAAGATACAAAGAATTTTATAGTTGTTTGTTGTAAATGTCAGTTTTAATTAATCTATTTTACAGAACAAAATGTTTAATAAAATATCTTTATAAAATAAGCGGTTGTTTTATTGGTCACTGATACGTATTATATTTATGGAGCGCTGGGCTCTTCTGCGAGGCGTCGAAGGGTTGTGTTAAGTTGATGTGTGCACAAAGCGTGCATGTATACCTACAAGTTGTGTAGAGAAAAGGTAGGGTTTGGAAAGGTAGGGCAGAGAGAGAGTGGCATTCCTCCCGGGGCGCCCTCTCAACTATGCGACCGCTCATGAGCCCGTGTTGCCACCATGCAGCCTCCCAAACAATTTGTACTCAAACTTGCTACGCTCGGCTTTAAATTAAACTGTTCACACTCAAGTTTGACAGCACAAAGCAGTTGTTAATACGTTCACATTAAATATTATTTTAACAGCTCTGTGGACTGTTGAAGTTGACAGTCGCGTCATCTAATTAAAGAAAAATTTAAACGCAGTTATGACTGAAATAAAAATGAAAAATGTATAATGGGAAGTCGGTGTAGATGGTAAGTAAACGAAGTTAATAAGCAGAATTTATTTTGGTGGATAGCTAACTAAGCTTTGTTGAATTTGTCGGATTAAATACATCGTCCATCGTTAGTGTATCTGTCTAGAATGTTAAATATAAAATGCATTTTTACTGGAATCATGGTGAGATATCATAAAAGGTTATTTAAGTATATAAAGTAAGTTTAATTGACAAGCAATTGCATTGAAAATAAATGTGTTTGGAAATCTGTGTAATACATTACATAATAATAATAATAATAATAATAATAATCTTTATTGTACACCTTAAAGTAATATAAACATATATGTAGAGTTACAATCAAGAATAGTAGGGCACAAAGGCGGCCTTATCACTAAAAGCGATCTCTACCAGGCAACCTTTGGGTGAATGGAGCACTGAATGATAGTGGAGGTGATTCTAGGCATACTCAGGTACTTACATCACATACCTATACATACACATACATACATACATACATACATACATACATACATATATACATACATACATACATACATACATACATACATACACACATACATACATACATGCATACATATACATACACACACATATATACATAAGGATATGTAAATAAATAAAAATAAAATATATACACATGACGGATAAGAGTCGGCAGGGAAAACCAAATAGTAATTTACTACACCGTGGTGAGGTAATGTTTCCTCACGAGTGCTTTAAACGTAGCGAGTGTCTGTGCTCGTCTTACAGAAAGAGGCAATGCATTCCACAGTCGAACAGCTCGAACAGTGAAGGATCGGTCAAAGGATCTGCTCGCGTGCTGGGGCATCTCAAGCTTCAAATCCTCCGATGAACGTACTGGTCTAGAATGTGTGTCATGGAAGAACCTGAAACGTTCTTTGAGGTAATGGGGAGTTGAAGGATTGAACAGTATACTGTAGAGTAGAGATAAGATATGAGTATTCCGGCGAAGGCGGATCGGCAGCCACTTGAGTTTAGCACGATATTCTGAAATGTGGTCATATTTACGTAGTCCAAATATAAACCTTATACTAAGATTTTGGAGTCGCTCAAGTTTATTTAACTGCACTTCGGTAAGATCTGGATAGCTGACGTCAGCATAATCGAGGATGGGATGGAGAAGTGATTGAGCAAGCACAATTTTAGTAGCAGTTGGAAGAAAGTTTCGGAGTCTCAACAAGGACCTCGTCGACGCAAAAATTTTTCGACTGACTTGTCCCAGTTGAGGTCCCCATGAGAAGTCCTGGTCTATGACAATACCCAAGTCCCTTACCGCATCACTATATGGTATTGTAGCACCGTTAAAGACAATCGGCGGGATTTGGGACCATACAATCTTGCAGCGCAGACGAGGGCTACCGACTACAATGACTTGGGTCTTCGCGGGGTTGACCTTTAAACCATAAGCCGTACTCCATTCCGAGATCCGTGCCAAGTCGGTGTTTACCATCTTGACCGCCTCGGAGAATTCACTAGGTGGTGCCTGAGAGTAAATTTGTAGATCGTCAGCATACAAGTGGTAGGAAGATAGAAGATTATTTGAGATGGAATTTATGAAAACAGCGAACAGTAGAGGAGACAGAACGCCCCCCTGCGGTACGCCAGCAGTCGTATCAGACCAGGAAGAGTATAAACCCTCAATGGCGACACGCTGTCGGCGGCCACACAGGTAACTACGGAAGAAATCAATCACAGTTGGAGATATGTTAAGAGAGCCCAGTATTCCAAGCAGTATATCAAAATCAACGGTGTTGAAGGCGTTACTAAAATCTAGCAAGGTGAGGAGGGTTAAATTGCCGTTTTCAACACCAGATCGTATGTCATCAGTGATATGGACTAGTGCCGTAGTGGTGCTATGTCCCGGACGAAACCCGGACTGGTAAGGATTAAGGAGACTGTGTTTGGTGAGGAAGGCACTAAGCTGGTTATAGATGAGACGCTCCAGGACTTTAGAAAGAAAGGGTAAAATAGAAATAGGACGATAGTCTGTAAAGGATTCTGGATTTGGTTTTTTGGGAAGTGGTGTAATTTGCGCTTCCTTCCATGCAGAAGGGAAAACGCAACGGGATAAGGAATAGTTAAGGATGTGGCAAATGACAGGAAGGATCTCATCCAGGATAGGGAGCACCATCTTACGGCTAACACAGTCACTCCCCACCGCATTGGAACTGATGGATATTATACTCTTCCTAACACCACAATCTGTGAGTTGATCGAAGAAAAATGGTGGATAGTCGGGAGAGGAAAGAGAAGAAAGATAGTTTAAGGTTTTAGCCTTGACAAACCCATTAATATAAGGTGAAGAAGAAAAGTGTTTGTTGAGGGATTCGAAATCTAAGTTTTTAGAGGTACCATCCTGACGCTGTTTTCCAACTCCCATAGATCTCAAGAATGCCCAAACCTTAGCCGGGTCGCCATTTTCTACAGACTCATGAATATGGCGACGTTGTGCATCCCTACACATCTTGTTGCTCCGATTTCGGGTTGCAATATACTCTTCGCGATTAATCTGATTAGGTAGGCGTTTAAATTTGGCTTTAGCTACTGCCTTCCTGCGAATTACGGCCCTGATCTCATCTGTCAACCACGGCGCTGGTACATGTTTAATTTTGACTGGTCGTATCGGGGCATGAATATCATACAACCCGATAAGTTTTTCGTTAAAAATATTTATTTTGTCATCAATTGACTCGGCGGCAAGGAGCTCAGACCAGTCGATGCTGCCGGCATCCCTACGAAGCCTGTCATGGTCCATGCTACCAAAATTGCGCTGAAAGTGTGTTTTAGATTTAAATTTAGGAGGACAGATTTTGTACGAGAGGAAGATAAGATCATGATAGGAAAAATTGTCTGCAGAACATTGTCCGTGCTTGACAACATGTTTGTCAGATGACACAAGGATAAGATCAAGAAGAGAAGGCGAACAGTTAGGAAAGTGGTGAGTGGCACTCAAAGGAAGTAGAGACAAGTTGAAGGAATGAGCAATAGATTGAAGTGAAGAGGAGCGGGAATCTTGTTTTAGGAGACAGGTGTTAAAGTCACCCATAATTATGCTGTGGCTGTAAGAGGGGGTTAATTTCAAAAGTAAATTTTCGAAGGAGGAGAAGTAATCAACACGTAGGGAAGGGCTGTAGTAGACACCAAGCAATACTCTAGCGTGGCGCAGAGTCAACTCTAAGAAAAGATGCTCGCCAGCGTTCTGCGGCGGAGGCTGTGGTGACACGTCAATTATTTTAAAGGAAATGTTTGATCGAAGGTAAATGGCAACACCCCCACCGCCGCAGCCCGTGCGATCATTTCTTATTAACTGGTATCCAGGTAAAGAGTAGGAAGTGGAGGGAAGACATGGTTTTAACCAGGATTCAGAAACAAGGATCGCATGAATATTCTTACAGTCAAGATTTGCCAGCATATCGTGGTAGTGAGCTGGAATACTCTGTGCATTTATATGGACTACATTCAGATTTTTCGGTACATCGGAGAAATGGGACTCAAGTACATCAGCAAGAGAAGGTAAACTAGTAAAGCTGTCGTCATCAGCATTTGCAGAAGCAAAACTTTCATTATCACTCTGCGTGTTACTACTCATCATATCATATAAATATAAAACAATAATATTATTAAAATAAGATGTAAATATGTATAAAAACAAAAATAAAATATAAAAATAAATAAAATAATAAAAATAAAATAAAGACGGTTTGCGTAAAATGTTTTAAATCCACCTGCCGGTTGCATGTTATAACATTATTAAAATGTAGGACTACCTTACGACCACGACATAATGCTACTTCGCTCGGGCAAAAAACCCAGTGTTTATAATTAAATAAGTAATTAACTAAACTAATAATTAACAGTGAAAGTGAAAGAGAAAAAAAAAAAAAATAGAACAATAAAAATAAATAAATGTACCAAATAAAACAAATATTAAAAGAACAATAATTAGAAACTGATAAAATAAAATAAATGCATAATACAAATAATAAATAGGGTATTCGTCATTACCGTCTGCATTGAAACTGTCTATGGTTTCATAAACAGTTCACGCATCCGATGTCAAACGGAACGCAACTATTAACGTGACGTTTGACAAATGTCAAACGTCAGAAACAGTAAATAAACATAGAATATTTTAGAGTGAGCAGAGGGTTGGAAATATTCATTTATAATAACGCAGTAAAGATAAATAGTAAGGGTAGAGGAGTAATAAAATTAATCTGTTCTAATGGGTAGAAACAAAATAAATACATTAAGTAGTAATAAATATAATGGGAGGGTATTGGATAACTACCTCAAGACAAAGGAAATAAGAGGTGAATTTGTTACCCGAACGAAGCAGGATCATTGAAGTCACTTTTTACTGGCGCCACGCTTCCCTCTCCGAACCACAGCCGCAGGATATCGCTCGGGGACCGTCGCAGGAGACCGCTCGGGGACTGCTGCAGGCTCGCCGATCGCACGCAACTCGCTGTGACTTACTATGCGGTGCCTCACGCCATCCGGTCCCAGAACATATATGTGGCCCTGCTTAGTCCAACAGTTCGACACACCGAACCTATCCCGCGCCGCCATGAAGACCTGGTGTCGTGTCTTCGTCAGGAACTCTGAAAGTGTGATACCCGTACCCTTGAGCTGGGTCTTGTTGTACCACACTTTGTCTCGAGTATCTACTTCCTGCATCTTCACCAGTATTGGTCTGGGACGTGTTTTATTGGTGAAGCTGCCAACCCGGTGACATCTACGCACATCTGAGGTAGTGATATTGTCCATTTTAAGCTTCTCCTGTATGACTCCAGTGACCACTAGTGATGTGTTTTCTTTTGGGATTTCAGGAACTCCGTGGATCAATAACATCTTTCTCCGGCCTCTCATCTCCTGCGCATCCATGTCCCGAGCAAAAAACTCCATCTGCCGCTGTAGACACTCAAGGGCATCAAACATGAACCGCTTAAAGGTCCAGTAGTCCTGTGCCAGACCCGAAGTGCCACCAGAGGCAAGTTTGGACGGTGTGCTGCTATGCCCGGCTTCGAATTTAGACATCCGCTCCCTGAACTCTGCCCTCATCTCAGCCAGGGTGCAATTGACCGCCTCCACTGCCTCCATGCTTATGATGCCGATGATGTTACGGTAGTATTATACGGTAGGAAAGTGATGTAAACACACTATACCAGCAGGTAGTGCCTTTTAATCAGTACTTATTGTGATAATTGTGATATATCCAAAAAAAACCAAATAAAATTATTTTTTTTGGGAGAGACGCTTTCCCTGTGTCTTTCTCTTAGAACACCTACCCGCGAAAAAATTATAAAAAAATTAAAAATTACATGTTAAATAAACATGTATAAAGAAGGCTAAAGTGATATAAAATCTGAGTTAATACAGCAGCAAAGATTAAAGCCTTTACATTTACGATGTATGAGTCAACAGGAACATTTATTTCATGTAATAAAGTACAAACATTCTTCATGAAATAATCCATGTAACATGGTTGGGTATGATTATATTCTGTGTAGGTATGTGTATTTTTAAACCATACACAGGGTATGTATACTCATCTTATAACTTATATTATTATACTTATACTTACTTACTTATACTATTATTTAAAGCTGAAGAGTTTGTTAGCTTGTTTGTTTGTTTGTTTGAATGCGCTTATCTCAGGAACTACTAGTTCGATTTGAAAAATTCTTATTGTATTGAATAGTCCGTTTATCGAGGAAGGCTAAAGGCTATAAAACATCATGCTACGATCAATAGGAGCCGAGTAGAGCGGGTGAAACCGTGTGGAAGTAGCTAGTATATAAATAAAACAGATTTTCAGCAGTTTTTAAGTCATTTCAGAAATTTGAATTGACTTAAAAAGCGCCGAAATTATCCAATTAAATTGTTAGTAATGAAAACTTTCAATAATTTGATCCCAAAAAAACAGGCAGTTAAAAATAAATAATGGATTAAGCGCTAATCCCTGATGCCTTCAATTCAATTAAAAACTAGAATTAGAAACGTCAGAACGTATATGATTAGGTATCTATGGAAAATTTATCTTCGTTTCGAATAGAAAAATTAAAATTTGTAATATCAATTAAACTGTTTCTGATGTTTGTATGCGATTACAATTATATAGTAGTACCTATGTTCAACGTTCCACAAAAGTTTGACATTGTCAAAAACTAAAATTTCAAATTGAATTAAACGTGAAATGAACGTCAGTTACAGTTCATTGTTTTAAGAACTATTCCACAACGGTGCCTAGAGTTTTGTTCCAACTTCTGTTTACATTAACAAAAAGAAAATTACATGTTCGTCATAAAAGTTTTTCGATTAAAATAATGTTATACGCTTCTAGCTTAATCATTCTGCATTGTAATTAGACTTTTAGTTCATCAATTCAGCTAATTGCGAGCGTTTATCATAAGTATGCTAGTCCCAAGGATTTTCTCAAACAAAGCTTTGTTGCAAATGCAACGTTTGCTAGCATCGTTGGTCGGTACTTCATATGTAGGGGTCTGACTTTCTCTAGAACCAGAATAGGATTCCGAATTATGTGCATTGCATTTCAAAGCACTTTCAGATTTTATAGGGGTGAAAACTTATGATTCACTAAGTATAAGATAGTGATCATCATTTATTATTATTGACAACCCTGTCGATGGAGTCTTAGTAGAGTAGTCTGTTTAGTCTAGAATTGGAATGCAAAAGTACACAATATACGCAATGTTACACCCAATTTTCGGCAGTTTTGTTATACTATAAGTCCCATATATTAAGTAGAGGGTTGTAAATAAAACATGGTGATAGGTACAGACATCGATGCATGCATAACACACATAAAATCACGCCTTTTATACCAGAAGGGGTAAGCAGAGGTACACATTACGGCACTTAATGCCACTGTACAAAGTAGCACCCATTTCTCCCTATTGATGTTAGGAGTCCCATGTAGGGGTGAGCCTATTGCCATATACCAGGGGCATTTTCAGGATCCGTGCTACTACTGAAGTTTTTTAAAAATTCAGTAAAACTTTGCCCGACCCTGGAATCGAACCCGAGCAGTTCGTACTTGCGACCACTCGGCCAACGAGGCAGTGATATATTGATATTACATAAATTGATAACTACATTATATGCACTTTTCCTTACCTTTTCAAGGAATGAAATAACAAAGAACAAGATTTGGATTTTATCGATAACTTTCAAGTCTTTATTTACTTAGCTTACAAAATTACAAAATTACAAGTAGTCTTTGTCTAGAACAGTTGTAGGAAATTCCCAAGTTATAACCACTTACCTACATACCTATATGTTGGAAAAGTTTCAATCCTCATAACTTCCATACCTCCTAGACTCTTACGAAGTGGCATTCGTACTACTTAATAGTTCTAGCTAGAATGGAAGCGACGACGTTAAGTTGTGACAACTTAAAAGTATGGTCCTAATGCAGTTTTTGGTGTTAAAAGGAAAAATCATAATGTTACATTCTGGTGAAATTAGATGAATGAAATGAAACCTTTATTTGTGATACATTTAGTTGGTCATTTTCCATCATCATCATTGGTTGGTCATCAGCCTATTTAGGCCTACAAATAATCGTTTATGAGTTTAAATAAATAAGTCCATTAATTAGTTATGTAAGTAAATATGAATTTGTCGTGTTTTAATAAATTACATGTCAGTATTGTTCGTCAAAAAGTCTATTAGTAGGTATTAGTAAAAAAGCAATCGTTTATACAGTCTACAAACCTACATAGGTACATTTTTTTTTAAAGGGGGAAAATCATCGAATGACTGCTCCCGTCTGGGTGAGGCGGGAGGGAGTGTCAGACTCTTACTGACTAAATACCACCCCGTTCCTTCTCCTGCACGTCGAGTAGGAGCCCCGGTTACCCGTTAGGTTCTCCGCGACACATACATAGGTACATTTAAGTGTGTTTAAAAGAGATACAATAAACAAAAATATTTAAACAGTGCGCCGCTTCCACCAAAAACTGTTTAATGTTTATGTTTTTACTACGAAACGTTCTTAATTTAAATTGCATGATGTTACACGTTAAACAAAATACAGATGACATTTCTGTATTAAAATAAAAAAATACGAAGTTGTTTAAATATGTATACAGCCAGTATTACACGCGACGTCGATGCGACGCGAACGCAGCGATGCAAACTTGGATATTCCACCACAAAATAAGTACCTACGTCAGACAGTACTCAATTACGTTAATGGATATCTAAATATAAGTGCTCTCTCGTAAAATCATAAATCTAAATACACTCTTGAGTCTGTCTTCAAATGATTTTATTTTATTGCTTGGAGCACCGTCGCACGTCTTGTTATTTAGAGTATCGATGTTTCCTGATCAATCTTCCTGTTTTACTATCGATAGGTATTATCGGGAGGAATTATTTACTTATAATGTTTATAAGTAAGTGGGCGTATTTGTGCCAGTGATGGTCGACTACAATAAGCGGCCGATTAGAAAGGAGCCCAATTACGGCAACCCCTTCAAGGATATTGAAATAAGCCTCGGGCGTTTGTGGGTTTTTGGAGTAAATCCAAATATCTCGCGAAATATTCAAGTATATCTCCGATGGGTGTATAAAACAGTAAAGCTTTGAATATAATAGTTTATATGAACAGTTTATATAGGCATATATCATATTTTCTCGCACTATACTTAAAAGAAACTCTTCCCTTAAGGACCATTACATTGTGCGCTCTCAAGAGAGCATTGTTATGATTTCCTCGCTTCGGTAACGGATTTATGTTGCCCATCTTAAAGATATAATCCCCGAGTATCGTTTTCTGTACTCACAAGATTTGGAGGAATTCTAGCCTTTTCGAAATATTATTTTAGGTAAGATTTATCCTTTTAAGATCGGCAAATACTATTATACCAGTTACCTAGAAAGAGCGAGAGAGAGAAGAGAGAATTTGAAAGCATAGGCAAATGTCGTAGACATCGAAAGTGATCTCTCGAGACTTCATCAAATCAAGAAACACTGGTAGCTGAAATTGCTCAATCAGCAATATTCTGTGCAAATATGAATTCTAATCACTTGCAATACGGGTTATATAAGTTTAATTTTCGAAATGTAAACAACGAAGCAACAATCAGGGCTTACGTAAGCACGTATCGAGGTTGATACCGAGGGTGGTTCACACTCGACTGATACATAAATTCCGCTCCGCCGATCATCTATTGTACATCGTTAATGAGTCTAATCGGGGACCATAAGCCACTTTATTATATCATTAATCATCAGCCCAAATTATTTAATTAGTCGGCAGTGTTTAACGATACTTGAAATATTCGGGGTCGGTGAAAACTAGGCTACTTTTTAAGTACAAATTGGCAAACAGGTCGGTCCACCTGACGGAACATTGTACCAGATGCCTGCAAACTTTGTCAGACTTTTTGGGAGAAAGGACACAGTAATACTAATTAATGAGGACGCGAACATGTAAAAAATATATCGACTTTGAAACTTCGTAACTTTGTCTTATTTATCGTGATTATATCAATTGAAATATATTTATAATTTTTCCCCATATCCCACTAGTTTAATAACTTATGCTTTAATAATAATAATTATATTTATTCGTTGCCGGTGGAATACTGATTTTACATTTTTAAATAATTATAGTACCATACAAGTAACTTGGGTTCGATTCCCGAGCCGGACAAAGTATTACTGGGCTTTTTAAATTCTCAGTAGCAGCACCGAGTTTGGTATTATGCCCGGATATGGCAATAGGCTCACCCCCTTTTACACGGTACTCAAAATATAAATAGTGAATACTGAGTGTTACATTATACAGTTGTATTAAGTGACATAATGTGAACTTCTGTCTACCCCTTCGGGGATAAAAGGCTTGATGTTATTTTACTAGTTAATATGAGAAATTTTTGATATTTTAACTACAAAAATCACTACTTTAGGTACTAGATATTTCTAGAATTTCAATTTTAGTTCGTTAGTATCGCTTAGTTAGGTTTCTAGACTAATTATAATGCACTTGAATATCAGACTGCTCTGCAAATAAAGAGCCTGCAAATTAATTAGTGGGAATATCGATAGACTGAGGTTGACAGGTCATAGTGCAGCCCTCTAATGACTTTCATTACCTTTATTATTTTTGTACTAGGTTTTGCATGCGGACTCTATACTTATTTTTTGTCACTGGAAGTCGGATAATAAAATAACAGTATCTAGTTATTTTTAAATAAGAAATTGTGTTTCCTAAGTTTAGTGCCGTGAGACTTGCTGATAGCGTAATCAATTAAATTGTAGAATAATTACAAATCAGGGTTCAGTAATGCTAATTGAAGGTACTGAACTTCTTCCATTTTGACTTTATTATT